CATTATCACAGCTAATTTCTTTAGGGATGCCGAAGCGGCAAATGATATTTTTCCATATAAAGGCGATGACTTCTTGCTCGCGTATTTGTGCGTACGCACCTGCTTCCACCCATTTAGAAAAATAGTCAGTCAAAACTAGAAGAAAGCGTACCTTTCCTCGTCCTGTCGGTAGAGGGCCGATTATGTCCATTCCCCACTTTATGAAGGGCCATGGCGAGGTGATTGAATGGAGGATTTCCCCTGCCTGGTGTATCATGAGGGCATATTTTTGGCACTGCTCGAATCTTCGAACATAATCTGCCGCTTCTTTCTTCATGGTAGGCCAATAATATCCGGCGCGGATGAGGCATCGAACAAGGGCGCGGTTTCCTGTGTGGGCACCACAATGGCCTTCGTGCACCTCCTCTAATACCTGCTTTGTTTGATACGGCCCAAGGCATTTGGCGAGGGGGCCTCCGAATGTTCTTTTGTAAAGATCGTTATTGATCAGGCTGTATCGGGCGGCCTGTACCCGGAGTTTTTTGGCTTCTTTTTTGTCGCGTGGAAGCGTTCCGTCCTGCAGGTAGGATACAAACTGGTTGCGCCAGTCCCAAGTCAGGTTTAAAGAGAATACCTCGACATGATCGATGGCCGAATAGAGGAGAGTCACCACATTTCCTTTGTTGATATTCTTGGTGGCTGCAACTAGTTTAGCTAGGCTATCTGCCTCAACATTTTGTGCCCTGGGAATTTGCTCGAAGCGACATTCGTCGAACTCGTGCATCAGCTTGCGGATTTCTGACTGGCATTTTTGTAGCCGTTGTTCTTTGATTTGATAAGTTCTGGTGACTTGATTTACGACAAGTTGGGAGTCGCAGTGGAGGATGAGCCGACGGGCCCCGTATTTGATGGCTATCTTCATACCTGCAATCACAGCCTCATACTCGGCCTCGTTGTTAGTCATCTCGGGACACCGTATTGACTGGCGAATTACCTCGCCCGTGGGGATCTCGAGGACGAGTCCCAGTCCCGATCCTGAGGCGTTCGCAGCGCCGTTAGTGTAGAGGGTCCAGAGGTCGGTACGGGTAGAAGCGCGAAGGGCTTCTTGTTCCACCTCTGGCAGTATCCCTGCACTGAAATCGGCGACAAAGTCGGCGAGTATCTGTGACTTGATGGCGGTTCTTGGGTGGTAGGTTATGTCATGCTCGCTGAGCTCTATGGCCCATTTAGCGAGCCTACCCGAGAGTTCGAGTTTGTGTAGGATGCCTCTTTGGGGGAAGGTTGTTATTACCTTTATGGGATGGCACTGAAAATAAGGTCTGAACTTCCGCGAAGCCACGACCAGTGCCAGAGCTAGTTTTTCGAGGTGGGGGTACCTCGTTTCGGCATCTACGAGTGTCTTGCTGATATAATAAATAGGGGATTGCGTACCTTTATTTTCACGGACCAAGACGGTGCTGACAACGACTTCGGATACAGCCAGATACACAAGTAGGCACTAGCCTGGGTCTGCTATGACGAGCAGTTGTGGCGAAGATAGGTATGCCTTTAGTTTCTTCAGGGCCTCGATGCATTCCTCGTTCCATTGTAGTCCATGATCTTTCTTTAGTACACTGAAGAATTTATGGCATCTGTCCGAGGACCGTGAGATAAACCTGGATAAGGCGGCTATTCGCCCCGTTAATTTATGTACTTGTTTCTTGTTGTGCAGTACCTCGGGTATTGTGTCTATAGCCTTAATCTGATCTGGGTTGACTTCGATGCCTCGCTGCGATACGAGGAAACCTAGGAATTTCCCGGAGGCCACGCCGAAGGTGCATTTTTCTGGGTTCAGCTTCATCCCATACTGCCTTAGTATCTCGAAGGCCTGCTTTAGATTGTCGATATGGTCTTCCTTCTTAACCGACTTTACTAGCATGTCGTCGATATAGACCTCCATTGTTTTACCGAGTTGTTCCTTGAACATCTTGGTAACCAGCCTTTGATATGTTGCACCCGCGTTTTTCAGTCCGAAGGGCATCACCTTGTAGCAGTACGTTCCCTTGATGGGTGATGAAAGTTGTCTTTTCTTGGTCCTCTTCGGCCGTTAAGATTTGGTTATAGCCAGAGTAGGCGTCCAAGAAACTTAACAGCTCGTGCCCTGCTGTCGCATCGATCAATTGGTCGATATGGGGCAATGGGAAGGAGTCTTTTGGGCACGCCTTGTTTAGGTCGGTGAAGTCTACGCACATTCTCCATTTCCCATTTTTCTTTTTAACCATGACCACGTTGGCGACCCATTGTGGGTACTTTGATTCTCTGATGGAACCGTTGGCTTGTAGTTTATCTACCTCTTCACTGACCGCCTCGTTGATTGCGACGTTGAATTTCCTTCTTACCTGCCTCACGGGCGGGTAAAGTGGGTCGACGTTCAGCTTGTGAGTGGTGATGTCTCTTGGGATCCCCGGCATATCTGAATGAGAGAAGGCAAATAAATCTGCATGGTTAGTTAAGAATTCATGGTACTTACCTGAGTCGGAGAGATTTTGTCCGATGTAAGCTTTCTTCGAGCTATCGGTACTGTCCAGTTGGACGGGATCGAGATTCTCGACTGTTGCGTTGCAGGCTTCTACGACATCCGGATCCCTGATAGCCTCTGTCGTTGGGCTGATTTTGGTTCCCGACATGGCTGATTGCTATGCTTCCGCGCTTGCTCTTGTCAGGTGTTTTTTATGTGCGCAATCTTGGGCAATTCGGTAACATTCCTGGGCGGTACGTGGCTCACCTCGAATGCTGAACATTTCCCATGGGGTGGGAAATTTGATTACTTGATAGAGGCTCGAAGGAATGGCCCGCATGGCGTGTACCAGAGACGTCCCATGATGACGTTGTAGGCCGTTTCCTGGTTCATGATGTGGAACGTGGTTTCCAGCGTGACTCCCCCCGCCAGGACGGGCAGTGATATCTCTCCTGAGGTTCTCTCTACTGCATTGTTAAAACCCATTAGCGTTATGCAACGCGGTATTATCTTATCTTCGAGCCTCATTTGCATGAGGACTCTGGGGTGGATAATACACGCGCCGCTTCCGTCGTCTACCATGATTCTTTTCACATCGGTATCAGCAATGCATAAAGTTATAACTAAAGCATCATAATGAGGGAAAGACAAACTGTCGGCATCAGACTTATCGAAGGTGATACCATCTTCGAAGTCGTCATACCGTTCGTAAGCGATCGTGCGTTTCAACTTGTGTGTGGTAGTGAACTTTACATGGTTGATTGCCGAGTCGCCGCCGCCGCCGACGATCATCTGTATGGTGCGTGCTGGAGAAGGTGGTCTCGGTGGTCCTTGGGATTGATCACGTCCTCTGGCGAAATTAGTCCTTCCTTTATCGCTGAGCAGCTCCTTCAGGTATCCTCGATTCAGCATTCTGACCACCTCCTGCCGTAGGCCTATGCATTCTTCGGTTTTATGTCCTCTTTCTTGATGGAATTCGCATAGGACATTCGACCTTCTCGCACTGGGGTCTGACTTCATTTTTTGTGGCCACTGCACCTTCGTGCCCAGCTTTTCCAGTGTGTACACTATTTCTGAAGGGGAGACACAAAAGTTATGAGCAGATAATAATGGGGGCATACCTCTTTCATTTCGAAGCGGGGCGGCATGTCGTTGTACGGCATCTGGGTGTCTTGGAGGAGGTGGGTTAGGAGTTCTGACGTAAGGATGGTTCCTTTCTCTGTTGAAGCGTGGAAGCGGTTCCCGTCGTCCGTCGTTGCGTCGGTCCCTCTTTACTTCCGAATGTACGGACGTTAGTCTTTGGATCGGACCGTTAAGGTCCTCTTCATCCGCTCTGACTTCGGCGCAATAGGCATTGTGGATCTCTTCCCACGTGGTGGGGGGATATTTCATGAGCCGAGTGAGCAGCTTTTTGGTTGCTTTGGATCCGTCTCTGTTCAGCCCGTTTTGGAAAGCTGCCACTGCTATTCCCTCCAATACGTTCGGCAGTCCCATTCTTACCCTGTTGAATCGTGCCAGGAATTCCCCGAGTCCCTCGCCCGCTGTCTGCCTGATGGCGAAGATGTCGTTGACCCTGGCTACAGATGTAGAAGTCCCCCTTTCATGCAAAATCGTTAGATCTTCAAGTGAGGATGGCGAGATCTCCCCCTCCGGTATGTTACTTGGTGTCGTATTCGCGATATTTTCTCTGCCTGCTTCGTTGAGTGGGCCTATGAGGTTGGATGAGACGTCTGCTATCATCTTCAACCTTGACTCTTTGTCTGCCATTTGTTAGTTTCTATGAGATCTGAAGAACAGCGATGGATGTTTCTAGTATCCTAGATGTAAACTATGGTTTCTGCTACCGAAATCCTCACAGACGGCGCCAAATTGTTTGACTCAAAAGTAAGGTAATACTTTTTGAGCAAATCAATCAGTATAGATGAAGGGGTAAATCGTAGTGAAAGATAATAAACTCTAGGATGATCTTGGATATTGGATCATACAACAACGAGATGAACAAAATTTAGAATAAATGATACACTTCTATCAGATAAGAGAGACAATGTTAGAGAGAGAGAGAGAGAGAGAGAGAGAGAGAGAGAGAGAAAGAGAGCTTGTATTTCTTATCATCTCCAGAGTCCTCTTTACCAAGCTTAGATCCCCTTTATATAATAGGGGATCCTTACTTTAATACAAAAAGACAAAGAATAAAGTACATATTATAGAGAGGCCGGCGTGGTCATGGAGTCGCCCCTCTTGTTGCTCATAGGTCGCTCTTCTAACCGGGCTCACGGACACTCGGTCGATCGTGCTGTCTTAAAGAACGTAGTTGGTCAAATTCGACCCTATACAAATTCTACTCTTAGTGAAAAGCTTTTATAGCTACACAAATACTATGGACCCCCTTTTTGAGTTGTTTAGGACTACAAATTCTAAAAGTCTTCATTTTTTCTTAAAATTCGTGTTCAGTCAAACAGGTTCACATAAACTGAAACAGAGGAAGTATTAAAGTTTAAGTACACACATTTCTTTCTTGCCATGAGAGTCGTTATGACTTCATACTTTCATTTGTACAAAAGAAATACTCCTCTTTAGGTGATTTTTTTTTCCTAATTTAGGACGCGAAATAAAAAAAAATTAAGGACGCGATATACGAGGAAAGAAATTAACCTGTGATAGGCCCACATGGGGAGAAGTTGATACGTGCCCGGAATTAACATAAGCTATTAAATAGGGTTGATAAAATGGGAAGCGTCCAAGCCTTATTCAGACGGAACAGAGTACTTGGGCTGAAAAAACGCCTCCGCTGACGCAAAAAGGGGTAACAGCTACAGGTCGAGATCCGGCGAGTTTCGTCGGATTTCGTCCCTAACAAACTGCATCTCCGGCATACGTCTGTTTGATTATTTCCTTTTTTTTGTTGTTTCCGACGAAGAAATGAAGGGCTCCTGCACTCTCGTTGCTTCCATGCTTGCCGCTTCCACCGTGGCTATTAGCTCCACTTCCTATTCCTCCTCCTCCTCTGATCCTGATGTCAACTGTCACTCGGCTTCTACCGAGGTAAATGCCCTTGCTATTTATATATTTGGTGTTATCAATGCTGAAAAAGAATGTATTCTTTCATGTTTGTGTATTTATTTGATTCTAAATCATATTTCAGCGGAATTAACAATGGAGCTCTATCCACGTTTGGTGCCTGAATCATTTCGAAACTTTGTGATATTTCGTCATGCATTAGTCTAAAGTTTCTCCAGTGTTAATGTTATTGTTCGATAGCTTGCATGATATAAAATCTTTTATTTTTGCTGCGTTCGACAATCGGCTCAGCTCGGTTTTATCTCTATAACATCTGATTAAAAATGGTGCTAATTATTGGTTATTGATAGATTAAAAGAAGAATAATTTGAAATGCAGGGACTTGGTTATTCTTCATCGACGGAGAAGCGCAGATCTGACAACTCAAGGAAACAGCCATTGAGATCAGAGGAGGAGAAATTCACTCCTAGATTTGACGGCCTGAGATTTATCGAGACTCTAATTACGGCTCACAGGTGAAATCTATGTAATAGCAGGGTGGCTTAATAGGATTTGAGGAACCGAAGTAGCATTAGCCCCATTTGTTTATCGATTGAATTGGTCATGAACATGCCTTCTTTAATATGTCCAATGTGATTGATTGACTTGTTTTAGTGTTCTCTTAACACTTATTTTGGAAACTGCATCTCTAATCAATCTTTGGAAATGCTTGGGGGATCATCCTTCGTTATTTTACTCTGGAGCATGGACATATAGTTGTTCCTGTAACAAAGTTTTGTTGTCAAGTTCGTTTGGCATGTTGTTTCAAGCCATGATAAAAAAGAATTCATATAAACACTTGATTTGATTGTTGATGGCAAAGATACGTTAGAATTTCCATAATTAATGGTTTCAGAGCTAAAATTCTAAAGAAATGAGGCAGTGAAAGAGGTGCAAAAGGAGAGGAAAGAGAGAGGTACCATGAATTGTTGTTTGAATAAGCAGATATCCATCTTAAACTAAGGCCTATTTTATTAAGACGTCTGAAACTGAATACACGTCTGAATCTGAATATCAAGATGTGTATTAAGATTAACACATCTAAATTTGAATACACTTCTGAATATATTAAGATGTGTATTAAGATCGGAATACTAAATTATTAAGACTGTTTGATTTTTAACATCTGAATAAAATTTATCTTTATTTGAAAATTAATAAACATAAAATTCAAATGAAATACTAACTAATCTAATATTCTATCAATAAAATATATAGTTTTTTAAAATATGAAAGTTGGTGGTGGTGATGGCTAATGGGTGTGTCACGATCCGGATTTTCCATCCTGGGGAGTCGTGATGGCGCCTACTAATGAAAGCTAGGCAAGTCAACCATTTGAATTATTTACCTTCTTCCCATTTAATCCATTCAATGTATAGATTCCAGTCCTCTTTTTTTTTTTTTTTTTTCTAGAAAGGTTCTTTCTTACTTCTAACGAAAGGGTTTTTCTTCGATTTTTCAATAAAGACGGGTTTTGACTCCTTTTTTATATTTTCGATTTTCCATTATAAAATTTGAAAGGGTCATTAAACTTATCGAATTAACTTCTCATTGATGTATTCTTTCATCGAGATTTAATCCAAACCGCGATGGTATTTTCTTGTTCCCGAATGGGTTTATTTCAAAGCAACGTGCGACTTGAAGGACAGAATCCGTTGTGGATTTGTACATCCACCATTTTATGTAGGAATGAATGTGCTCTTGGCTCGACATCATTGGTTCTGTTTCATTAGAACCCCTCTTTTTTTGTTGTCTTGGAATGTAAATAGTCCATGATGGAGCTCGAGTAGAAAGTATTAATTTATTTCTCGGGGCAAGGGTCTAGGGTTAATGCCAATCAATAAACAAATTGGAACAACTTCGTAAATATATTTTCGGTATGGAAATCGAAAGAATCCAATTCGAGCAAGTTTCCAATTCAAAAATTTCTTGGAATTGATCAAACTTTTTCGATCCAAAGTGTTTCA